TCCGTGTGTGATTCAGGTTCCGAGCTCGTCCTCCATCAGTGTAGATGCTGATAAGGTACATTCTATTACTGTTAGAGCTCACTGCTGGAATTTGATACGCAGAAGTTAATGAATTGGTGTGTTCTATGTCCGTGTCTTCGTCAAAGCAATAGACTTTTTTTGGTTTACTATGTTTTCACAGCACTAAAAACTATAAAGTGTCGTGTGTACCAATTATCCCGTTGATTAGAAAGATATACTTTCAAGTAGATAGATCTTCTTATCCAATATCATCTTGGATATACAGAAGAGAAGTGTGAAATAGCATTTATGATCATCTTTTCATGGGAATGTTCTTTGCCATACTAGAGTTTTGTTTCGAGGGTTTTTTTTGTGGAGACTCAATGTTCTTGTTAGCAGATGGCGCCAAAGCAAAAGATTAGGATCAAGCTTAGATCATACTGGGTGCCTCTTATTGAGGACTCATGCAAGCAGATTCTTGATGCTGCTAGAAATACTAATGCAAAGACGATGGGTCCTGTTCCATTGCCAACCAAGAAGCGTATCTACTGTGTTCTTAAGTCTCCTCACGTACACAAGGATGCTAGGTTCCATTTTGAAATCCGGACACACCAGCGTATGATTGATATTCTCTACCCGACTGCTCAAACTATCGATTCTTTGATGCAACTTGATCTTCCTGCTGGTGTTGATGTGGAAGTGAAGCTCTGAAGAACGAGTGTAACTACAATGGTGACAAAAATCTCTTTCCTCTTTTTTTCTGTATTCTGATACAGATGAATCTTGTGGATACTAATCCACACAAAATCTTCATCAAACTTCTATCTTTCTCTGTTGACCATCAAGATCTTGATGCTTGTTCTTAACCAAAGTTTTTTTCTTCCTCAGATGTGATGGGCACTTTTGCATTGAATGAACAGACTGTTTCAGATCAACTACATTGCTTAGAACCGGTAAGCCTTGTATCATCTTTTTGAGAACCTCTGTAACGAAAATGTAAGTTGTATTATCTGGTCCTTAGCAAAGTTGGAATCTTTAGCGATGTTTGGTTCTTAGTTGATGAACATATCCTTAATTAAGCAAGTTCAAAGGAATTTTTTGTTTTTGTTTTACTAATTGTTATGCAGTTGCTATTATGATTAAGTTATTTTGTTTTTGTATTTAAGTGGAATCTTTATTTGGGTTATAGTATGAGTAGAAACAAGGAGATACACAACTTGAGTTTTTTTTATTTTCCATCTCAGGACGTTGGAATCGTGAAAGCGACTTCATTATTAAAGCTAAACGTATAAGTTTATGCACATACTCAATAAGGAAATGATATTGTTTTGTCGCAGACACATTTCATGTATCAATTACTCACTAGACTCAGTTCTTTAGGGCGATATGTCTCATTTATTAGCAGCCAAATCTAAACGATACCCGCAAGTCTTTTACCATTCTTTTCTTTCCAAGCATACGTAAAGATCCAAGGAAAAACAGTGGTGGTTTTCGAATTTATCAGTCTGAAAAGTCGATAGCGTCTTTTCTTTATCTAATTTGGATGCGGTG